ATCCCATTTTAAATGTTCATCACTAAAAACCCCCAAATATTGTATCTGAGATTTTTGTTCTATATTGCAAGCTGTTATTCTGATATTTGTTCTCTTTTTAAGTTAAGTATAGTCATATAGTGTAGCACTAGAAACAGCTGGCCTACCGAAACTTCATGAGAGGAGGAAAAAAATTTCAACCAATCCGTTTGACAAGATAGTCCGTAACCTCACCCATAGACTCCACAGCCTCCTCCCCCAAAGGAAGAGTTGTAGATACGCACTGAGGCGCAAAAGTGATTTCACTCTCCCCATATGCAAAACCGAGCGCTTGATGAACAGTTTTATTTTTTGCCATATTTATAAGATGCAGATAATTTTCCTTCTTTCTTAATGACGAAGTTGTAATATTTTATACCTCCTTTTTTACCATCTGTATTTGTAAATATTCTGTAATTCAGCCTATGGCTGCAAGGTGTTTATAATAAAGTATCTATCACCTATCTCGAAGTAATAATCATATAATTAGTCTTCTTGAAATTAATTAACAGCATATTTGCTGCACAGTATTTTTTCTAAGTTCTTCATCAATAACTGATTGATTCTCAGTGGAGAACCGTTAGAACTGGGGTCCCTCAGGGGTCCCTCAGGGGAGCCTTTTGGGTCCTCTGTTGTTTAACATATACATAAATGATCCAAATTATTTTACTGAAAGCACCTCATTACGATTATATGCCACTGACACTACTGCTTATGCCTCAGATACATCTCCTGTTGTTGTACTATACATTATTAACTCAGATCTTCAAGTTGTCTATACATGGCTCCAACATAATTATTTGCAAATCAATGCAATCAAGACCCAAGCGATGGCCATCGGCCCAGTAAACTTTAGATATAATATTAATCTACAAGGTAATAATGTAGAGCTGACTGATAGTCTGAAGATTCTTGGTGTCGTTTTAGATGAAAGAATAGCATTTAAGCCCTATATACAAGTATAACTTAAGAAGGCATGTGCTAAGGCAGCTGCCATGCGTAAGCTGCATAAGTTTATACCACAAGATGTTATGATTCGCCTTTACAAAGCATATGTACTATCCCACTTAAGAGTATTGTAGCCCACTCCTGCTAGGAATAAGTAATAGGCTCAAAAACAAGTTAGAGGACACTAATTGCTACATCCTAAGGACTATCCTAGGGTATTCAAGCTCAGTGCTTTATGATTTTCTCCTTAATTTAGCTAAATTACAAAACTTAGAGACACAGAGGCAAATCCAGTCATTAGTTATTTTATATAAATGTTTTAGAGGACGGGGACCGGAATATCTTAGTAAGTTTTGTAACGTTTTAAATGTGAATTACAACCTAAGCAGGTCTGGCACTCACCTTATGCTGCCATCGTTCAACTTTGAATACATTCATAAGTCATGGTCATGTTTAACTACTAAGCTTTCGAATGGTTTGCTTACTAGAATCAGGGAATGTCTGGACCTGGCCGCTTTTAGGCGTGCATTGCATTCGTTTATGGCGAGGCTTTAACTGGATTTTTATGCACTTTTACTTAGTAATTATATAGTACATATAAATTAGATAAAAAATAGCTTTTCAATACTTTTATCTTTTAATATTAGTTCTTATTAGCTCATTATTTGTAATTAGTTTCATGTTCACGTTTTAAACGAGCTATTAGCTTTTAAGTGATACATGGGTAAATAAAGTATTATTATTATTACATACATTTAAAAAACTGCACTTTCAATCTTTTTCAAGGTTTACACCAATGGATCTTGAGAATCACGTCAGCCAAAAAAATATAAAACTTAAAATGGTTGTGGACCTCACCAACACTAACGCTGACACATACTATAATCCCAAGGTATGTAGATCAAAGAATGGTTTTAGCCTGTACTTTTCAAGTATGTTCAAACCAGCAGCCATGTGAGAGGAAAAATAACTTAATGGTTATTGCAGTGGACTTCAGTTTAAAAGATCTTATCAATTAAACATGCCTTGATGTTAGGCAATATAATTTCAACCGAAATGGTAACTGGTTCTTTCATCATTTATTGGTAAAGGAGCTCTGTGACCATGGGATACCTCATCGCAAGATCAAATGTGTTGGAAAACAAATTCCAGATGAAAATGTGGTAGAAAGGTAAGGAAGAATTTGAATAATACAGTTGAGTTCTAGATAACAATTCCTGTTGTATTGACAAAAGCAATGTTATATTCTTTCAAAGGTTTAAGACTGCTGTCTGCACTTTTATGAAAGAGAACAGTAACTCAGGTAAGAAACATAATGACACAAACAGCTTGCTCTTTCAGTCTGTTAACCCTTTATGTGTTATTACTGCAGCAGTTTCATATTCTCCATATTGTTTTCACACATTTCCCACAGTGCTGACAAGGAGAATTTGTTTAATAATCAAGAGTTTCTTTAGTTGGTGATTATTTCTTTAATTCTCATGACTGAAATGTGTGATTCAGGGGAGATATTTTAAGGAGAAATTAGATGCTTGTCACTTTTAGGGGTTTAAGGGATAAGTAGGTAATCGATACTCATGAGTTTTATTTCGAAATATTGGGTGTCCTCACTAGAGTACCAGTACATATGTGTCATGCTGAATGAAGCTGTAGTCGCTAATTTCACACTTTATTTCTAAGCTCACAATCAAGATCAGTTTTATGATTCAAATATGTATGAGCTTTAAGAATCCGCAGTAAGGCTAAATGAAAAACTACAACAACAAACATGTCTGACTCAAAAACGTTCCATGTGTTTTCTTGTGTTGGGAGGCACAGCAACAAACATCCGACTCAAAAACGTTCCACATGTTTTCTAGTGTTGGGAGGCACAGGTCTTCCAACATTAGAACAAGAAATTCCCGGTTAGCTCAATGGATAGAGCGCTGGACTGTTGTGTAGGAGGTCGAGGGTTCGAGCCCCAGCCGGAACAACAGTCAAGGTCTTAAAAAATAATTGTGAAGAATATGCTGCCTTTCTATAATATCAAGAAATAGTTAGATGTTCTAGTATTCTCGGATAGGGACGAATAAATGGTGTTCCCGTCTTCTGCAGGGTCAGGGGTAGGAGACGTTAATTTCCCATGCACGAGATTACTGTGTGATGGATGTCCTCCCCTGGGTGGGATGGGTGGTTACTGGGCCCGCAGTGATAGGCTCAAGCTGTTGTGGTGTCCCTGCCTATTGGAAAATCTTGTAAATAAATAAATAAACAAATGCAAATGTTCAACAAAAAGGTAAAAACAGAAGCAAAGGAAAAATAAATTATAAAATTTACATAATGATTGTACTTCTCTATTGCATGCTTTTACATACAGACATCATCTGAATGGGTTTTTATGAACATCATAAGTTATGTTACGTATATGTGCACGATCCTTCGCAGTAAAGCACTATTTAAGCAATAGTGAAAATCAGACCTGAAAAAAATTCAGGCCTGTACGGGATTCGAACCACTGACCTCTGCGATACTAGTGCAGCGCTCTACCAATTGAGCTAACAAGCCAACTGGGAGCAGGCCATCAAATTAATTCGACATAAACCCGTAGATGATAAATCAAACAACAAACATATGAAATACATATATATGAACTGCGGTTATGAAACGTATATGTGCACGATCCTTCGCAGTAAAGCACTATTTAAGCAATAGTGAAAATCAGACCTGAAAAAAATTCAGGCCTGTACGGGATTCGAACCACTGACCTCTGCGATACTAGTGCAGCGCTCTACCAATTGAGCTAACAAGCCAACTGGGAGCAGGCCATCAAATTAATTCGACATAAACCCGTAGATGATAAATCAAACAACAAACATATGTATGAAATACATATATATGAACTGCGGTTATGAAACGTATATGTGCACGATCCTTCGCAGTAAAGCACTATTTAAGCAATAGTGAAAATCAGACCTGAAAAAAATTCAGGCCTGTACGGGATTCGAACCACTGACCTCTGCGATACTAGTGCAGCGCTCTACCAATTGAGCTAACAAGCCAACTGGGAGCAGGCCATCAAATTAATTCGACATAAACCCGTAGATGATAAATCAAACAACAAACATATGAAATACATATATATGAACTGCGGTTATGAAACGTATATGTGCACGATCCTTCGCAGTAAAGCACTATTTAAGCAATAGTGAAAATCAGACCTGAAAAAAATTCAGGCCTGTACGGGATTCGAACCACTGACCTCTGCGATCCTAGTGCAGTGCTCTACCAATTGAGCTAACAAGCCAACTGGGAGCAGGCCATCAAATTAATTCGACATAAACCCGTAGATGATAAATCAAACAACAAACATATGAAATACATATATATGAACTGCGGTTATGAAACGTATATGTGCACGATCCTTCGCAGTAAAGCACTATTTAAGCAATAGTGAAAATCAGACCTGAAAAAAATTCAGGCCTGTACGGGATTCGAACCACTGACCTCTGCGATACTAGTGCAGCGCTCTACCAATTGAGCTAACAAGCCAACTGGGAGCATTAGATCATCTACGGGTTTATGTCGAATTAATTTGATGGCCTGCTCCCAGTTGGCTTGTTAGCTCAATTGGTAGAGCGCTGCACTAGTATCGCAGAGGTCAGTGGTTCGAATCCCGTACAGGCCTGAATTTTTTTCAGGTCTGATTTTCACTATTGCTTAAATAGTGCTTTACTGCGAAGGATCGTGCACATATACGTTTCATAACCGCAGTTCATATATATGTATTTCATATGTTTGTTGTTTGATTTATCATCTACGGGTTTATGTCGAATTAATTTGATGGCCTGCTCCCAGTTGGCTTGTTAGCTCAATTGGTAGAGCGCTGCACTAGTATCGCAGAGGTCAGTGGTTCGAATCCCGTACAGGCCTGAATTTTTTTCAGGTCTGATTTTCACTATTGCTTAAATAGTGCTTTACTGCGAAGGATCGTGCACATATACGTTTCATAACCGCAGTTCATATATATGTATTTCATATGTTTGTTGTTTGATTTATCATCTACGGGTTTATGTCGAATTAATTTGATGGCCTGCTCCCAGTTGGCTTGTTAGCTCAATTGGTAGAGCGCTGCACTAGTATCGCAGAGGTCAGTGGTTCGAATCCCGTACAGGCCTGAATTTTTTTCAGGTCTGATTTTCACTATTGCTTAAATAGTGCTTTACTGCGAAGGATCGTGCACATATACGTTTCATAACCGCGGTTCATATATATGTATTTCATACATATGTTTGTTGTTTGATAAGTTATGTTGTAGCCATCTTTGATTTTTCTTCAGATTCTGTTGTTGGGGTTCATTGTACTCACGGCGTAAACAGAAGTGGTTACGTAGTTTGTAGGTGAGATATAGATCTGCACTAGCTAACCAAATCATGAAATTATGTGACCAAAAATTCTATCAACTCTTTATTCAGTAACTTTTGACTTTTTTTATTCACTTTTCTCATTGCAGATATCTTATTGAATGCAAAGGATACACCCCTCAAGATGCAATCAAAGGTAAAATAAGCTTTGAGGTCAAAGCCGTAATCTTTTAAGATAACATTACCATGAGCGTCATACAAGTTGAATGAGCAGTTCTCAATCAAGCATCGAAAGAAATCAGGGATTGATTTTCTTTTGCTCTACTTCGCTCTGTGATTGGTCCAGAATATTCGCGCTACTCTCACAACTAATTGAATGCAAGACTTACACCAATCACGAATTGGTCCCCCGCGTTTTCTGGCGCTTTAGGCAAATGGTTTCTTTTTTACTTTGAGTTCTCATTGGCTCCTAAATGTATTTTCCTCTCTTTTGATTTGCTGTGGTGATCACTTTGGGTTTAGTTTTACGATGCTGAATCGAAAAGCGCTCTATTGAGTTAACTCTTCGTTTTCATGAAAGAACTAAAGCCACGTTCAACATCACCTCGTCTTTGACCAGATTTTTTCCAAAACTGATCTGATAACTTGCTTCTTATTTTGAACCTGTGGAGACATAATGTCGTGATCAGGGAATCTAAAGTAACACTTCTTCTTGGTCTGAACTCCTTCTCCAGCTTTCAATAAAACTAGAGGACATCATATGGAGTATACAGATCACTTGGAGGATCTTCTCGAAAAAAAAGCCAGGCTGTGAGTAAACTATTTCACTTTTTTTTACTCAGTCTGACGAAGCTAAGTTAAGTGCACGTCTCTAACTAATCGTTGGTATACCACTTCAAAAATACCGTTTTCAATTGTATAAAGTTTTGTTACTTTCAACAGCGATTTCCCATCTTACGTTTGTATTGGGGATAACCGAAAATGGGACGAAATTCCATTTGAAGAGGACAAAACAAACTGGAGATCTAACAACATCAGGGGAAATACGAAAGGTAACGACTTTAGATCACGTTATCACGATCAACATGTGGATCGTTATCAACCACCCACAGGCAACCCAGCCCAGTGTAGACATTACTTGTAAAGGAGGTTTAGAAGCGAATGACACAGGGAAGATAATCATGGTAATTATAGTCGCCACGATAATTATGAAAGAACTTGTCATAATCCTGAACGTGATCATCATAATTATTCCGAAAAAACTATTATAATTACCGTGATGGTTATTATTATTCCAGTATTATAGGGCTGTGTCTCACAAGGACTGGGAACTACCGAATTCACGAATTTGATTAGCTGAAATCAATATTGAAAGCGGTCTAGATTTTCCTATCTAGACCGACATCTAGACCGGTCTAGAAAACAAAGGTACAAAGAATATAAAAAATTGGCATATAAGACACAGCCATGTAATAAACATCTTATTAACCGAGCTAGGTCGGTCTGTATGGGAGAATCTTGACCTCGGTCGTTGGTAGAGACCTCACTGCATTTGGTCTGTACTGGCGACCTCGGTCAAGATTCTCCCATACAGACCTCCCGCTCGATTCATAAGAAGTAAATAATTTTGGTAGTTATGGTAGGGACCACTATGATTATAAAAATTATGCAAGCTCCAGCCGACCAGTAAGAAACCGAGAGGACTCTAGCAGGCGCGATCACGTGATGAGAACTACATTCGTTAGGAATCGAACGAAGCCATACACTCAGCACAGGAAAAAATGTACCTAGAACTGAAAGGTCAAAGTTCTTTATTATTCTTTATTATTTCTACTTTTATAATCTTACGACACCCTGTGATGGTCTTTTAAAGTCTTACCACCTTCCAGACCAATCAGATTCAAAATTATACTCAATCGCAACTTGTTCCCAGGTGTTTTAGTCCGCTCCAGGCAGTTAGTTTGTTTTTTGCCTTGCGCCAGTCCCCTTTCTTCTGATTGGCCTATGTGATGACCTCTGGTTCTTGCTTTTGAACAGCAAACCAGAAAGCACCCCAAGACTCCTGTTTTGCAAGCTAACACATTTCAACCGAGAAACATTTTAATCGCTCAGTCATTCATTATTGTAGGTCTTTTTACTGTAACGCGTTCCCAATTTAGAGTTTTAGCTGGGTTTTTAAGTATAAAACTGTTGTTAC